CCTCCTCCTCCACCACCTCCTCCACCACCACCATCACCACCACCACCACCACCACCTGAACCACAGCAACGTGTGTACCTCATCTGGGTCCTGAATCAAACATCCCAAAGAGAACAAAACCCTTTGAGATGACAAGGGAATTAAAAACAGTTTGGATATAAAATGGTATTAGGGAACTGTTAATTTTGCTGTGGTGTGAAAACGTAATTCTGATGCTTTTGAAAAGTAGCCCTTATTAAATTATGATTAAGGGACACTACAAGATGTATGATGTTGATGTGTACAGTAACATATTTAAATGAGGAATGTTTCCCAAATGTCTCTGCACATAATGACGACATACTAATGGTTTGGCATGTTTGCATTTTTTGTCTGTAAGTGGCGCTACAGAGTCCTGAGCTCAAGGAAAGGACTCCCTGTGACTTTTTTTGAGTCTCTGAAGCCGGGGCTTGGGAGAGGCAGGCAGTCTTTCTCAGTAAACCTGTTGCAGCTGAGGGGTGGGTGTGAGTGGTCGACAATCACTCAGGGGCCTAGCTGACTCCTCTTGCCCCTGGAAATGTTGGCAGAAGCCAGGAAGGCACCTCTCTCATGTTCTGAAGGTTGTTCTGCACCCAGGAAGCTGGCACTGGGAGGCTGCCACGCTCCAGGGAGTTTTATGTAGAAAATGTTCCCATTGTATACTTTCTAAACACCATTGTGAGGCTGTAAAACTTGACAGCCTTATTCGAAGACATTACTGAAGTGTTTTATTTGTTCTTTTAAAAGGAAATCTGTGGCAGAGGTCACCCAGGCCCTCTGAGCCCACAGAGGTCATCCAGTCCTGGGCAGCAGGGCTGGTGACAGATGGACCCTTGTCAGTAACAATTCTGCAAATGCTAACAAGCTACAGGCATTCTGTGTACACGCTGCTTCTCAAGTGTTGCTCCAGCACTGCCTCTCTGAATCCCCCCAAAATCCTGGGAGATGGGTGTTCCTACATCCCTATTTGGCAGATGAGGTATCAATGAACAGCTCATGAGGTCAAATAACTTGGTCAATCATGAAAGGAGGAGTTTCATGCAGAAAAAGGGCAAGAAAGGTACCGTAAATGCTGTAAGAATGGTGCATGATAAAAGGAAACAAGAATTCTGGTAAAAAACAAGAAAGGAATTAAGCACCTTTAAGAAGCCTACAATCAACACTCTTGGTACCAGCATCTAGGAAGTTAGAAGACGAACTGCACTGGGAAAGTCTGTTGTCAGAGACCTCTCCAAAGTACTGAAGAGGGGAGCTCTGGTGGCCTAGTGGCAAGAAGGTGCACTGCAATCCCAGAGGTGCACGGTTCGAATCCACCAGATGCTCTGCCGAGAAAGGAGGGACAATCTCCTCCTGTACCAGTCAGATCTGATTTGACGGTACACACACATGAAAATAATAAAATAAAAAAAATTAAAGTACTGAAGAACAATGATGTCAGTCTAGAGACTAAGGTGCGCCCGATACAGGCCATGGTCTATGCATCAGAGAGCTGGACAATGACTAGGGATGATAGAAGGAGAGTTGATGCCTTTGAGCTTTGGACTGCTAGAAAAACAATCAGGTTCATCCTGGAGAGGGTGAAGTCAGTCTGCTCCTTGGAGGAATTCTGAACCTTTAGTCACACACTCTGGACATGTTGCAAGGCGGGATCAGTCCTTGGAGAGGGACGTCATGCTTGGGAAGGTGGCGGGACAGTGCAGGAGAGGAAGATTGAGGTGGATTGACAAAGTTACTGGGGTAATGGGGGTTGGTGTGTCGGAGACAGTGAGATTGGCACAGGACAGAGCAGGGTTTAGGTCGCTATGAGTTGCAGGTGACTCAATCGCACATCACAACAACGGCAATCGGAAGTTCCACAGCACCTGGCCAGTCAGGCCGTTCGGATGGGGTCCTGAGCTCAGCTGGGCCCACTTACTGCGTTCTCAGGGTGGAAGATGTAGGAGGCAGGAGAGTTGTCCACGATGATAACTTTGCTCAGCTCCCGTCCGAGGCGACTCAGGTCCTTTACATAGTTCCCTCGGTGGAACACGCACGACTCTCTGAAGAGCCGGGCCCGGAACACACCCCAGCGGTCCAGCAGGTCAGCCACAGGGTCTGCATACTAGAAAACAGGGGTGATCATGTAAGGTGGCGCGCTTGGGCAGGCCCAGAACCCCCGACCTGGTGAATGAGACTCCCATTCTTTTTCACAAGTGGCATTTAAGGAAATGTTTTGTTGTTGTGTACTGTTGAGTCAGAACCGACCCACAGCTGACCCTCCGACCCACAGCTGACCCTCCGGCAGGTTTTCAGAGGCTGTTAATTGCAGCGGAGGAAAGTGCCCATCCTTCTCCCATGGAGCAGCTGGTGGCCTTGAACCGCGTGCCTCCAGGATTACAGTGCAGCTTCTTGCCACTAGGCCGCCAGAGTCCAGGAGTCCTGGTAGCCCAATGATTAAAGCACAAGGGTGCTTATCAGAAGGTCGGCAGTTAAACCCACCAGCTGCTTTGAGGGTGAGAACTGGGCAGTCCACTTCCGTGCAGCATTCCCAGCGCTGCAAATGCTCGGGGCAGTTCTAGGCTGTCCTGCTGGGTCTGGAGGACTTGGGATGGACTTGATCCCACTTGGCAGTGACTTTGGTTCTCTTCCTCCACGGGTGTGTAAGACAGCCCAGGATTCTTCCATTCCATTCGCTCCTCTCATCCAATCCATCAAAACTCTTTTGTCAGTCCCACTTCCAAAAATACTTCAACTCCACCTGCGTCCCTCTATTTATACCATCACCAAGCAGAGCCAGGTCTCTCGTCTCTGGCCTGGGATGGCCTCCCAAAAAGACTCCTTTCTCGTCTCCTCACCTCACACAGGTCAGAGCCGCCACTGCTTAAAACTCCCCACTGCCCACCTACCACACTCAGGACGACACCCAATGCCTTACTGTGTGCCCCAATCATCTCAGCTGTGGGGTTTCTACCTACCTGCAGCTTCCTCACCAACACTGGGGCTACACTGGCCTTGAACACAGACCCTCTGCACCCGCATGACCTCTGTGGAGCCTATTCTCTGCCCAGCTCTTTGCATGACGCATGATGGCCTCTTGAGCCAATCCTGGGTTTCCTGAGGGCTTATCTAGAGTCTGCTTCCATCTTCCTCTGTGGACACTGTGTCACCTCACAGTCATTTCCTTCAGTGTACCTTTCCTGGGATTGTTCATTTCTCGTCCTCCATCAGGGCGCAGGCTTTGCCTGCTGTGTTCACAACCTCACAGAGGCTCAGGCCACATCAGCTCCATCCACGGTGAAGGAAGGTGCTGACTTCTCACGTGCCTGCATGGCACGAGCTCACAGTGCCGCCTAGAGATGCTCCGGGCAATTGGGCCAGACCAGCGCCTGGCAAAGACGCCGAAGCCTCACCTCACACACACTGGGCATGTTGTCAGGAGAGCCTGATTCCTTAGAGAGGGACATCATGGTTGGAAAGGTGGAGGGTCAGTGAAGGAGAGGAAGATCCTCGATGAGACGGACTGACAGTGTCAGTGCAAAGGACTCAAATGTGTCAGGGAGGATAAGGATGGAACTGGACAGGACAGGGTTCAGATCTGCTGTTCACAGCGTCGCTATGATCCGTACTTGACTCGATGGCACCTAACAATAACAGTTCCTGGAAGTGAGAAGATGGAGCCCAGGGCTTTCTGGGAGGGAGCTGGAGCCCCGGTCACTCTGCTTAACCATCACTGTGTACTGGGGTGGGGGCGAGGGTGTTCTGCAGAGATGGATAAATTGGATGGAAAAAAAAAAGACGACGTTCAAGAGAACAGGAAGACAGAAGGGCGAGTTGCCCTTGGTGGTGGGCCGGGAAGAACAAAGGGCAGTTCACGCCTGAGGTGAGGTCACAGCTCCAACACAGAGTGAGGAGATGGCCAGAGCTCAGCAGGGCCTGGGGACTGCTGGGGAAGCCGGCAGTGGAGCGGCCAGCAGGTCCGGTGGAGAGCAAACACGGGCCTGGCTGCAGGGTGAGCACTGCAGGGTGACCAGCAGTGGCTCGGGCTCTGGTGGAAAGTCCTCCTCCCCATGGACATCCTGAGTAGAGTCCAAGCAAGCTGCTTCTCCTATGGACCACAGAGGGGGAAGGTCCAGGGCACTATGCTATTCTGCTGGTGAGGCCAACGGCCAAGGGGCAGGTTCCAGATGGAAAACCAGGATTCATTTTTCCACAATCATCACTCTAGGTGGTGGCAGGCACCCTTAAAGAGTGGGTCTAAATCTGAGGGCTCCAGTCCTGCAGATGGACGTGGTGAATGTAAGCTTCCCGAGGGCAGGGAGTTTGCCTCTTTTCTTCTCCCTGGTGTCCAGTACAGCGCCTGGCACAGACAAATATTTGTGGTGTGAATGAAGGCAGGCAGGCTTGAAGGGCCTGGGCCATCGGCGTGGGGCTCCTGTGGGCCCCTGGGTGGTGGTAGCGGGCCTGGATGTTCACCACACCTTTGCTGCCAGCCTGGGAGTCGAGCCCAGAACTAAGAACTGGGGAATAACGGCCTCCTGTCAGCTGAACACAAGAACCGGAGAGGGTGGAAGGGTGCACTGGGGGCTGATTTGGCTGCGCGGCTGGAGGGGCAGCGAGAGGAGAGATGGGGAGGCAGATGGAGGGACAGGTGGGCTGAGCCCAGGAGGAGAGGCTGAGGAGGATGCTGGAGTGAAAGCTGGGGATGACGCCAAGGAAACGGGGTGTGTGTGTGTGTGTGTGTGTGTGTGTGTGTGTGTGTGCGTGCTTTCATGTCTGCCAAAGGAGGAAAAACAAAAAAGCTCCCTGTCCACAGGCATCGGTGCAATCATCCTGTTTATTATTTCTCTGGTTATTACTTCAGGCTCCTCGGCGTCCCAGAGCCCCGTCAGAGAGGCCACTGATGCACAGATACAATTAGTGCGGGCACCACTCACCTGCCAGAGACCATCCACGCGGACAGGCTATGCCCCCTCCGAGGACATGTACTCTTTTTAGTGTGCAAAAATAAGGCTTGTGTTTGGATGCTCTCTCAGCAGGCCCATGTGTTAAGGTCTGGCGAGGAGGTTGGCAGGAGGCTGTGCAGTGGGCTTCCTGCCCGCTGTAGCCACCACAGATAAGGGCCAAATGAGGAATGCCCGGGCTGGCAACCCCAGATGAGAGTGCAGGGTGGGTGGGGAGGAGTCAGGACACCTGAGTGGGCTGTTCTGAGGCAGGCCTGGGAGGAGGCTGTTGTGGGGTTGCCTGGAGCAGGTCGAGAGGCAGGGAGATGGTCAGTGTGGGTTCCACAAGGCTCCTCTGTCAGGCCAGGCGGGGTGTTAGAGGTGCCCATGGGGACACCGGCAGGGACCCCAAGTTAGGATCTCAGGGGAGCTCACTCCTGGCTCTGTGCCGGGCACACCTCAGGGTACCTTGTGAAGCTCGTTCCCCTCGGCGGTGCCTCATGGCCAAGTAATCAGTCGCCTGCTCTAACGGTGATGCTTGGTTGGAGACTGAGACCCAGCTGTGAGGCCAGAGAACATCTGAGTCATGTTATCCCCGTAATAATCACGATGACAGATAGTGAGCTGCAGAAAGGGAACCTGCATGTCACTCACCTGCACAGATCTGTGGTGTCAATGAATGAAGGCATGAAAGCCTTGAACCGCCAGCTTGGGGCTCCTGCGAGCTCCTGGGCGGTGGGTATGAGGGTCCACCACACTCAGGAGGTGCTCCAGGGACACCAGGTGCAGAAAAGTGCTAAGCCCTTTGCAGGTATTATTTCATTTGGGAGGTGATGTTACCCTCAATTTACAGAAGAAACAGAGTCCAGAGGAATGAAGTAACTTGCCTGAGCTCACACAGCTCGTCAGAGCAGGGAAAGCAAGCCGCTCAGGCGTGTGTGTGTGTGTGTGTGTGTGTGTGTGGGCGAGCGCTCTCCCTCACCCATCTCGCCTTCGAACGTGTGGAAACGCAGTCCGAGGGCTCGGAGCTTGCACTGCCTGCGTCTGGTTGCCAGCCAATGGGCAAGGTGCACCCATGTGCCTCCCTCACGCAGCCACCCCGTCTCGGTTCCACCGGACACGTCTGCGATTTCCCAGGTCTGCAGACAGCCCAGCTCCGGGAGGCTGCGTACAGCGACTTAAGCGCGGCATTTGTTCTAAATGTGCCCCATCACCATGGTAACCCAGAAGCCTTTCAGGGGGGGTGCCAGGCACATGGCCTGCATCCATCCCATCTGGGGTGGGAACCTGTCACCATAGAAACGGCTTCCCCCACCTTAACAAAGGGCTGCCTGACAGAGAGTAGGCGAGGGATGGAGTGAGGGGCTGGGAGCGAGCTCACCTTCGCCAAGCTGGCGGTGAAGAGCACGCACTCGAACAGCTGCCCCATCCTCTGGAGGAACTCGTCCACGTGTGGCCGCTTGAGCACGTAGACCTGCGAATGCAGGACGACAGCAGGGTGGAGGGTCAGAGTGGCTGCAGGGGGAGGCCCGGGGCCCAGACGCCCTGAGGAATGATTCCGGGAGGCCTCCTGCACCCAGGTGGCTAGGCGGCCCACAGAGGCCCAGGCTGCAGAGGGGCTGTGGTCAGACATGGCCCTTTAGACCAGACACAGGCCCCAGTCTGGGCTCTGGGTCTGATTCCGAGCAGATGCCCTCTGAAGAGAGAAAGGGGCAGACAACGTGGGTGAAGGTCCTGGGTGCTCAGACCCCAGTGGCAGGAAGGCTGAGCTGCTGGTGTGAAGCCCTCGTTCACGTTACATGTGTTCAAGGATGCCTGTTCTGGGCCAGCCCAGCCATGGTCTACGGCTGTCCCTCTGCAGCTCCGTCCCAGCCCACCACTGGGCAGGCGTGTGACCATGTGATCGCTCCTGCTTCTACTTCCTACCTGGCCGAACTCCTCCCTCCCGAGTGCTTCACAGCCCACTGCACTTGGGCTTGGCACACAGGGATGTTTCCGGTGAGGTGAAGCTAGCCTGCTCTCAGAAGTCAAGGTCACTGCTGTCGAGTCAGAACCGACTCACAGCTGACCTTCCAGCAGGTTTTCAGAGGCACCGTATCATCTGAGAGGAGAACGCCTATCTTTTTCTTGGAGTAGCTGGTGGATTCGAACCACCAGAGGTGCGGCCTTTCCACCAGCAGCAAAGCTCTCTATGGACGATGCCATCAGAGCCTCCTAGCCTGCTCCCAGGCTCCTGGGAATGAGAGGGGGCCTCTGAGCAGAGAGGGGCTGAGCGTAGCCTGTCCATGAGTGCCTGGGCTCTGGAAGCCTCTGTGCCAGCCCGGCTGGGGCAAGGCAAGGAAGCCGGGCTTTAGCCCACATGTGCTCCTAGCTAGGGAGCTGGGAAACAAGTGGAAAGTGGGAGAGAAGGCAAAACTGGTGAGAGAGACAGAGGGAGGGAGGAGGGAGGCACTAATTAAGACTTGAATAAATTCCATTAGGAATTAGCCATTTCACAAAAAGAAAGCAAACTCATTAGAATTCAATTCAGTTCCTTATCTGCTGGGCTCTGGTGCCGGAGGAGCTGGAGGAGCTGTCGCAGAGAAGAATAAAGAGCAGGCCCTGTCCTTGAAGAGCTCGCCTTCTGAGACAACGCTGACTCCTGGCGACCTCCTGTGTATCAGAGTAGTGTATCCCTCATAGGGTCTGCAGTGGCTTTAAGTTTATAGGAGTAGAACAGCAGATATTTCCTCCACAGCACCGCCAGGCAAAGCTGAACCATCTGAGCACATATGGTTTGGGCCACTCAGGGACCAGAACTCCTAACGAAAGACACGTTGAAATTGGGTGTCATCAAGTCACCTCTGACTCAGTGATCCTACATACTTATGTACCAGTGATTGTAGGTGTGAAGGGACACGTAAGTAACACCTGTGATTCTATGTCTGTATGAATGAAACCCTGCCCGGTCCTGCACGATCCTCACAATCTGTTGGCAGTGGAGGCTAAATGAAGGACATTTCATAACCTCTGAAAAGGAAGGCATGAAAGAGGGTAACTGTGGACCTGGGCCTTGAAGGATGAATAGGAGTTCACTGGGTACATAAGGATGAGAAGCAGTACGTATTCAGGTGAACGAAATAATACAGAGGACTGAAGTAAGTGGAGGTCAAGAATGGCCACGGTCGTGTGAACAGCTCTCTGGAAGCAATGCTCGAAGAGGGGCGGTGGCACATGGCAGGAGAGGTACTGGAAGATGGAGCATGCAAGGTGGGCTGGGGTGAGCACACAAAGGGCTACACACGGTAGAGAGAGGGGGCAGAAATCCTGCTGGAGGTGAGGAGAAGCAGAGGGCTCCCAGAGGCGAGACGGTGGGATCTGGGCCACGAGGAAGGCCTGCTGATGCCAGAGAAACACCACGCAGGACCGAGAAAGGTCTATGGTGCTGCTGACTCGTTCGAGAGAGCCAGAAGTCACGGGAAACTTGAAAGAGCCTGGTAAGCCTGGACCTGTGGCCTCATGGAGAGAGTGCGGGTCTGGAAGAGTGGGACAGCGTGGGGTGGATGCCAACATTGCTCTGAGGAGCTGGAAGGAGGAAGGTGGGGGCCAGAGGAGTGGGACAGCCTGGGGTGGATATCAACACTGCCCTGAGGAGGTAGGAGGAGGAAGGAGGTGTTGAAGGCAGGGCCTATCTCCCGCATTCTGCTCATGAGACTCCAGGGACCAGCACCTCTCAGGACGTGGCAGGCCACTGGGGAGGCCAAGCAGGGTGAATGGGCGAACTGCGGACCTGTGTCCCCTGTGTCCCTGGGAGGACCATGAGGGATGCACGCTTTGCTCCACTTAAGAGGGCAGTTCCTGGCCTCACAAGGGTGACTTGTGAGGACTCTGGCGCTGGTGCTGTGGCAGAGAGGAAGGTCGGGGCGTGCAGGCCCGCGTCCCCATGCAAGTAACCGAGAATAGGCCCCTTGGGACCCGCACAGCCTATCCTGGATTACTTGAACGAGGCCACGGCCTTCGCCAGGGCCGCGGTCCTCTGCTCTCAGCTCCCGTGGCTTCACTTCCTCAGGAGGGAGAGGATTCGGCCTCGTGGCCTGGGGCCCTCGGGGTGCCTAGTCCTGGGGAGTCACAGCACAGCGGGGAGGGAGGCTGGCCACAGCAGGCCAGGCCCCACGGGGTGCTCACAGTCACGTGGTGCGGAGGATGCATTCCACTCCCAGTTCCCGCTGCACCATTGGACAGCTCTCCTTTGTCTCATTACCAGAGCTCTGTAACATGAGCCAAGATAATGAATGCAGGAGCCTTAACTGCTTCTCAGAGGCTCAGTTAATTCAGATGCGTCTGCAAATGTTAAATGCCCCAGTGCCTGGCGCTTTGGCTCCCTCACGGCTTTTAAAAGCATGAAGTGTGGAGATGCTGGTGAGAGGCTGCCTCTGCTGTGGGACTCTCTTCTGGCAGGGCCTCCTGGGAGCAGGAGAGAAGCAAGGGAAGGGGGAGGGAGGGTGTGAACAGGGCGAGGGAGGGGGCAGAAGTGGGATCCACACTTTAATTCTTCCCAACTTTGATCCTGAAGCAGACCTTTTCCCTAGCTGAGCCTCAGTTTCCACATCTGGAGACACTCTGCATTCAAGAGTCAAAGAGGATGACTAATTATGTCAAAGAATCAAGGAAAGAAGGCGTCTGTGAGGTTCAAGTACCAAGAGGTTCTCCTTCCTGGATAGAACACTTGCACCCTTTAAGAGCAGACACACGCACCCTTTAAGAGCAGACACGCGCACCCTTTAACACCAGACATGCACACCCTTTAAGACCTCGGAGTCCTCAAGGAAGCGGTCACATCTCGCTTGTGGAAAGTCTGAATAAGAGCAGTGCTCCTACTCTCCAACCCCCAAGGCTATTTTCTCTTCGAGATGTTTCCAATATGTTCATGCACAAGGCTATTTCTAGAGGAGCTTCATGCAGATAAAGACAAAGTCAGAAAGAACCAAGATGCATGCCAGCTGAAGAAAGAAGGCATCGTTAGTCAAAGCCACCTGTGGATTCAGAACCTCACACCCTCCCCCACCCTTCCTTGGTGACTGAGTTTTTGCTTAAGAGTCACAGGAGGAGAACTCTGCGGGAGTGACAAGGTCAGCGTGAAGCTGGCATCTGCAAGGAACATCGTTCCCCAGGAATCCACCGGAAGTTAGCAACCTGTGGCAGTTTCTTGCTCCCACTAGGACAGGAGCCAAAAGTAATTACCTGAGGAAGTTAATTAGCCCATCAAGCTAGGCGAGTGGAAAAGAGGGACATGTCTAAGAAAGCTGTATTCAATCAAAGAGCTATTTGAAGCTGCAACCACATCTAATATTTATAAATAAATCTTCTGTTTCCCTTATATACTCGAAGTAAAAGAAATTCATTTGAATGTTAAATACAAGTAGAAAACCACTGTCTTATTATATAACACCTGCTTCGTTTTGATTCAGTAATAAAATCACTTCTGCAAGGGAGATCTAAAGTTCAAGAAATATTACTTAAAAAGGGGTAACTGACAGACTGGCAAAAAGTATTTGGTAATGACATGTCAGATAAGGAACTTATATCTAGAATTTATAAAATACTTGAGCACCACAACAGGATAAAGGTAAACAATCCAATTGCAAAATGGGCACAGGATATGAACAGACACTTCAGATGGCAAACAAGCACATTAAAAAATGTTCAAAATCCCTAGCTCCAAGAGAGATGCAAATCAAACCAACTACGAATATCATCTCACCCCAGTTAGAATAGTAGAATTTAACAGAACAGCAAGCAACAAATGCTGGCGAGGTTGTGGAGAAACTGGAACCCTTATTCACTGTTGGTGGGAGTGTAAAATGGTGCAACCACTGTGGAAGGCGGTATGGCGCTTTCTCAAAAAGTTGCAAATAGAGATACCATTTGACCCAGCAATTACACTACTGGGAATATACCCCAAAGAGACCATAACTGACACCCAAGCAGATATATGCACAGCCATGTTTATCACGGCTTTGTTCACGACAGCAAGGAGCTGGAAACAACCTAAGTGCCCATCAACAAATGAATGAATAGAGAAGCTCTGGTATATTCACACAATGGAATACTATGTTGAATTGAAAAACAAGGAGCTCATGAAATATTATGCAAAATGGGTGACCTTGGAGGACATAATGCTGAGTGAAATATCTCAGTCACAAAGGGACAAATACGGCATAGTGCCACTGTTGTAAAACAGGACTGACATCAGGATTGAGGGGAGACTGAGAAAGGGGGGATAAATAATGTATACTGTATTGAAACAGATGAGGGAGAGAACTGTTTAAAAGGGATATGTGATTAGGTGTGATTGTCATGACAGGAGTCCAGAATGAAGGCTGCACAGTGGAGTGGATGTAGGGGAAGGGATTGTATAACAATGGGGGAACTTTTCTTCTACTTTTCAAAGAGAAGAGTGTAGTGAGGGGGAGAGGTGGGCAGGGAGAAAAGTGCAACAATAAATGAATAGCCAAAGTCTCTGTAAATTTTCATTAAAATTAATAAAAAGATGATAAAAAAAGTAGTAAATGACGTGCATACTTAGCTTTGATTTCTTACCTGATGTATTGCTCCATCAATTTCAACAGGGACAATAAAGTCAGCATTACTAATAGGCTAGAGGGGAAAGAAACCACAATTAATATGTCTGAAAGAACAAAAAGAAACTGGAATTTTTTATTATTATTATTTGTGTGTGTGTCTGTGTGTGTGTACCATCAAATTGGATCTGACTGATACAGGAGGAGGTTGCCCCTCCTTCTCCAGCAGAGCATCTGCTGAATTTGAACCATGTACCTCTGGAAAGTGGAAATTTTAATACGGAGGAAAAAAAAAAGTCTTGCCTGGACCAATGTTTTGATTATTGGAATAAACAGTTTAGGAGAAAAATGGCAAAGCATGCTTTGATCCCTTAAAATAAACACAAGCAGGAAAGTGCATTGCTTTCTGCTTTGAATATCACGAACATTTTCAGAATCTTGGTCCAAACGCTATAGATCACCTGCTTCATGTCTCATCAAAGGCTAGAATGGTCTGGCCCAAGGGTGGGGGACCTCAGAAAACAAAGGACGGCAGGAGCTGCTGTTGGCCACCAGAGGGGGAAAGGGGGCAGCCTGCCGGTCCCATGAACCTCAATTCTGACAATCTTGGAGCGACCCTGGAGGGCAGAGAGGAACTGCCCTAGATGGTTTCCAAGGCTGCAATCCTCACAGAAGGAGACTTATACATCTTTTTTATTTGGAGAAGCTGGTGAGTTAAAAATCCAATCTTTATGCACACCCATGTTTATCACGGCTTTGTTCACAATCCAAGGAGTTAGAAACAACCTAAGTTCCCATCAACAAACGAATGGATAGAGAAGTTGTGGCATATTCACACAATGGAATACTATGCTGCATTGAAAAACAAGGAACTCAGGAAATATTATTTTAAATGGGTGATCCTGGAGGACATTATGCTGAGTGAAATATCTCAGTCACAAAAGAACAAATACTGCATAGTGCCACTGTTGTAAAACGGGACTGACTCAGGGTTGGGGGGAGACTGAGAAAGATAGGATAAATTATGTATACTGCATTAAAGCAGATGAGGAAGAAAACTGTTCAAAAGCGATATGTGATTAGGTGTTATTGTCATGACAGGATTCCAGAACGAAGGCTGCATAGTGGAGTGGACTTGGGGGGAGGGACTGTATAACAGTGAAAGAATTTTCCCTTTACTTTTCAAAATGAAGGCTGCATAGTGGAGTGGACTTGCGGGGAGGGATTGTTTAACAAATGAAATTAGTTTTCTTTTACTTTTCAAAGAGAAGAGCGAGCTGGGGGAGGGGAAGCTGGGCAGAGAGAAAAGTGCAACAATGAATGAATGGAAACCCTAAGTCTCTGTCCAATCTTTCTGTAAGCAGCACTGAGAGTGTCATAGGACAGTGTTACTTGTGGCAAAACACTTTTGTACCTGAATCCATGAGAGTGAGGGACGCTGTTCTACTGCCAAGACCACAGGCCACAACCTTGGGGAGCAGCTCTTCCCTGTGGCCCGAGTTCCTCCGCTCTCCCCTAAGCCCTGTGCTGTGTTTGATGGGCACCTCGGCTCTGTCTATCCTGACTGTTTCTGAATTTGAGCGCTGCCTGGTGGCCTAGCATCAGTGTCTCTTGTCCTCTGGGGAGGCCAGCCCACCCCGGGGTTCCCTGCGGCAAATGGCCTCGCAAACCCACAAACTCCTAGAACTCCTAGAGAAGGAAAGGAACTCTTTTGCACTAGGAACAGCATTTAAAATTAAAACAGGATTTCTCAGCCATCCCCAAGTTCTTACTGATGGTCTTACCCATAGCTGTAAATGGAATGCCACAAATTAGGTCAAAATATTGCTCAAATGAACAGGCCTAACTATGTCATCAGTCTGCAATGTCTCAGGACAAGAGGGGAGGACTGACTGTCAGAGCTGGCCACTGGGCAGCGACAGAACTCAGTTATGATGTCTGTGGCCAGAGTCTGAGCTGGAGTCTGTCCAGCACTGTACACACAAACATTCTTCTGTGATATGTAAACCGAAGACACGTGAAAATTGTTTGATCCCAGAACCATCACAGAGCACTTGGTACAGCACGTGGGGCTTAAAACCACAGAGCATTTTTTTACTCCCAGACTTGGGAGGGTCAAGGGCGGGCTCAACATTTTACAATTCCACAAGTAAACATATTGAACAAATGGGAAAGAGAAAAGGAAGGAACGGCTCACAAGGAATTAGGCTGTGGAGCCATCTTCCACAGAGAATACGAAAAGGGCAAAGCCATTCCCCAGTGCCCAGCATGCCCCTGGCCCTCAGCTTCCTCTCACATGCTGCCAGAGAGGAGGCTAGACTAAAGCCAGCGTTTCCACCTGGACGCATGAGCCTTTGCAATGCACAAGTGCACGTTTTCCAGGGGAGACCGTGTACATTCTTAGAGAGAAATCTAGTATCATCAGAACATTTTAAAAAAATCATAAAATAAGGAATATTCTGTCTGCAAGATTAGGCAGGTCTGGGGAGAGGGGAAAAAATGAGAGGTAGCTGGTGGTACCAATGTCCTCTGAGCAGGGGATGGCGATGCCAGGGGCTGCCAAGGCTTTGTCTTTAAAGCTGAAAACAGTCAGGAACCTCAGGTGACAGGACCACCACTGCACACACTCAAAGCTTTGACGGCACCTGTTCTTGCTTTGAAGGACTTTCCACAAGGAGGACTTGAAAAAGCCCCGAGTGACCCCATCCCTGGGAATAAGAGGCTCTCGATTCTATCCAGGGCTGAGCTAGGACACAAGGCCACTACAGTCCCAGGACCAACCCTGGAAAGGACCTATGAGGGAATGATGATGGTCAATGTGAAATGCACACATGGACGGGGACCTGTTTACGCCTTGCAACAAAGGAAGGGCGCTCCAGCTGGGAGGAGAGGCCCATGGGCTGTAACTGGCCAGGTCATAGCCCAGTAGTGCCACTGCCAGCCACAACCCAAGTAAACCATCTACCTGCAGACAGCTGATTTTTGATAAAGAGATGCAATCCTTCAAGTGGGAAAAGACAGACTCTTGAGCAAATGGTGCTGGCAAAATAAAGGATCTACTTTCCGAAAACAGAACCAAGATTCGTACTTCATACCACATATAAAATTAACTCAAGATGCTCACTCAAGAGTGAGGAAGGCGACAGGAAGTGAGGCGGGCATGGCTTGCTCCGATCATCACTGCAGCTCTGTACCCTAACCGGAGGACATCGGGGTGGATACAAGCACACCACGGTTTAATGTGCCTCCCAGATACTGCGCTTATTACAGATTGAAGGTCTGCGGCAAACCTGTATTGAGGAAGCCTACTGGTGCCACATTTCGCTAATACTGTTTTGTACTGTGGAGTTGGAAGCGACCCACAGCTGACCTTCCGGTGGGTTTTCAGAGGGTGTAAATGGCACAGGAGGGGACTACCCATCTTTTGTTGTGTACCAACTTGGAAGTGACCCACAGCTGACCTCCCAGCAGGTTTTCAGAGGCAGTAATCACGTGAGATTGCCCAGCCTCTTGCAGGGGCAGCTGGTGCTTTCGAACCCCTTGGCTTCGGGACTGCACTGCTGATTCTTACCACTAGGCTACCAGAGCTCCTGCCATAATCCATAATCCTATTGTTGTTGTTATGTGCCTTTGAGTCACCCGTGATTCACACGGACTCTATGTCCAACAGCCCTAAACCCTTCTCTCTCCTGTGCCAATCTTATTATCTCTGATATACCTATCCCCATTCCCCAGTCACTGAATCAATCCATCTCATTGAGGGCCTTCCTCTCCTGCACTGTCCCTCTACTCTCCCAAGTATGATGTCCCTCTCCAAGGACATTAACTGTTGTTAACTAATTAACTATCTCATCTCTCAACGCCCACCAAAAATGGAACTCACAGCTGTGAAGTGTAGACTCTCCCTCATATCAACCCTACCACCAGATTTCTGAGGCTGTAAAATTTGACACTGGTCTCCCACAGAGCAGCTGGTGGATTTGAACCACTGACATTTGGGTTATCATCCCAACACATTATGCACTATGCCCGTGGGGCTCCTTAGTTTAGGTATACTGTGAACAGAGCTTAGATGCATAGCTGCATAGCCATTTTATGGTGGTCTAGAGCCCAGCCTGTAGTATCTCTGAGGTACGCCTGTACGTATTCAGCCGTTAGGCTTATGAAAACCTCTGGGAACTTCATCATGGATATGATGAAGGGGTGGGGTGCAAAGGTTGAATGTGTCCAGCTTCTAAGCTGTGGAAGCCTTCTTCAGAGCTAGAAATGCAACAAAAAGTGGTCTCAGAAAATGTCCAGGGGAGAAGGTTGCTTGGCAGTTTACAACAGTGTCTCCCCAGCACCTTCCAACAAAACACATAGCACTTAGGGTCGCTTGACAAACGTCTGTCACACCCTGGGGCACCACCTGCCTCGTGACACATGAAAATGTAGTTCTTCAGGGGTGGTTGTGGTTGTTGTTAGGTGCTGTCGCATCGAGTCTGACTCAATTTGACAGCCAGCTTGAACCCTGCCCTACCCTGTGCCATCCTCTAATGATCTCGGACACACTAGTGCCCACTGCTGAAGACACTGTCAATTCCTCTCACTGAGGGGTTTCCTCTCCTTCACTGACCCTCCACCCTTCTAAGCATGATGCCCCTTTTCCAAGGAACAGCCTTGTTGGTTAGCGCACTGGAAACTCTAATCTCCTAAGAATGAGGTCTCTGGCCAAGCACAATCAATAAGAGTCAGCATCTAAATTCCAAAATCAGTCTCCATAATAGTCTATGTGTTTCCTACTGCCAAAGGGGCCCTTTAGAGTAGTGAGAGAAGATCTTCACCCTGAAACCCACAGCGTCCCTTTTCAGCAGGAAGTAGCTAAGAGAATACGCCGTCCCCTTTTCCTTATGACTCAGGGTGAAGTCTCTCTCAGGGAGGAGTGATAGGGAATGGCAAAGGACACACTGACAAAGAAGATTAATCAGAACTGGCTTTGAAAAGCACTGTGGCATTTGGACAAGAACAAACTGGGAGGAGGGTAGAGAGAATGGTGCAGCGGTGAATGAATGGAAACCCAAAATCTCTGTAAATGTTTATGAAAATTAATAAAATATAATTATAGGAAAAAAAAGAAGAATGAGGTCTCTGTGTCGGCAGCCCAGCATTCCTTCTCCAAACTAATTATGTTAACATTCAACTACTTCTGTTAATGTCCACCTGAGTTAATGAGCAGCTTATTGGAATGCCTTAATGAACAGTGAAGTCATATATGAACCACCACCAGCTCTCTTCTATTTCATTTTCATTTTCCCAACATACTTATCATCAAATCAAAGAAGACTGACAATATTTTATGCTGATTTACCTTAAATGAACTGTGCACCAACGTCTCATCTAAATCGATGACCACACATTTCTTTCCATAGTCAAGCACCGTCACCTCTGGAAGGAGGTATTTAGCTGGTGGCTGGAGGAAAAGAAGAATTATTGTTACTGACATGCAAAAGACAAACTAATACCCTTACTACGGCATTGTGACTCTGATAATGAGGCTAAAAATGAAACCAAACTATTAAATTGTCTGGTCAAACATACCATGGAGTTTCATTAAGAAGAACAAGAATAACTAATTTACAATTCAAGTTGTACTAAACAAATCCCGTGTCATTATCTATTTGCATGGCTGAGGTGAGGACCCAAGTGTGGGAAGCAGGCAATGTTAGTCTATCAGTTCTACTCCTTTCTCTTTTTTGTTTTTTTGTTGGGATAACAGTATCTATCATGACAGGCTGTCATAAAATTATAATAAAGGTGAAACACCCAGCATTCTGCCTGGGACACAGATGGTGGGTATTGCCAATACTAAAACGGACTACATAAGAATCAGTGTTTAATAGTAATAGTTACTCTAACTAGGGCAGGCTAGTTTTCTGGTGTCATAAACTGCCTGAAAGCCTGAAATGGACTGTGACATATAAAGGTGTTTTAGGGAGTGCTGGTGACCCACGGGTAAGGAGCTGCACTGAGATCTTTCACTCAGCACAATGTCCTCCAGGGTCACCCATTTTGAATAATATTGCATGAGTTACTTGTTTTTTAATGCAGAGTAGTATTCCATTGCGCGAATATACCAGAGCTTCTCTATCCACTTGTTTGTTGATGGGCACTGATTGCTTCCATCTCTTTGCTATTGTGAACAAAGCTGCAATAAACATGGGTGTGTGTGATTGAAAGTACTTTAGGGTTTTCTGGCAAATTCGGTATCCAATGGTAACTAGCTAATGTTCTGTCCTCTGAAGAGGTCAAGCCCTGATTAATACCTAATGCAAAAGAAATACAAGGGGTGGTATTCCCTGGTCTGGCTCTTTTCCTGTCTCTTTCTCTGCTGACCAAGGAATCCCACCTTGGAGCCCCTTTAAAGAAGCTTCTTTAGCTTTCTTTTAAAAAAAAAAACAAACAAAAAGAAAGAAACACAAGAAAATGCTTTATTAGGCACCAAGGAATGGACAACGTTTTTTATCTAAAAAAACAAGAAAGAAACATGAAATTAAGAGGCATTCCCTTGTGAGTGGACACTTTGCTTGGTAGATACTTGGGTGTGTGTATACGTACACTGTATGGTATTTGTTTAGACTGAACATTAGCCAAGGATCTATGGTTAGTTTTGGACTTTAGCTGGTTTACTAGTGGCTGGACCACAAGTAGTCAACAGGTGGAGCACAAGTGCACGCACATCGATTACCTGGCAGGTGGGGACTGTGCAGAGCGGACCGAGGGGCAGTTATGTCTGGGGACCTGTATGATCTACACAGTGGGGTCTCTTAGCAAACACGAGTGTCTCAACCTGTCCACAGAGAACCCTTAGATGCAAGTAAAGCTCACCACAAAATCTCTGACTCCCTGATACTGGGAAAGAATGTTTCTTACGTAAAAAGAGAATAATAATAATAAAATCAAGCCCATGCTGTGGAGTGGATTCTGTCTCACATGACTCTGCTAGGCAAAGCCGGGCTGCCCACAGGGTTTCAGCGGCTGCCAATCTTAATGGAAACAGACTGCCTCCTGGTTCTCCTGAGGAGCTGATGAGCGCTTTAACCACCATGCCACAGGGCCCTGTGTTTAGTATCTACTTTTTAAAAAACAACACAATCAACCCCAAACCCTTGTCAATCTCTTTGCCCTAGCTGACTTTCCAGTGGGTTTTTGGAGGCTGTAAATCACACAGGAGATTGCCTGAGAGACCCCCCGCTTTGGGACAGCAGCACAGCTCTCTGGGGACTCTGCTGTCTGAGCTCTCTGCGTTTATCATAAATGTTAAAAAACAAACACACAAACACACACCACCTCTCACTGGCTAGAAGTCCAAACTGACTTGTAGCTGACCCTCCAGTGGGGTGTCTGAGGCTCTAAATCATAGAAGGACAGAGCCAATCTTTATTATATGTTATTGCTGTGAGGCAGAACTGACCTATAGCTTATCCTGCAGTGGGTTTTCAGAGGCAATAAATTGCACGGGAGGAGACTGCCCACCCATCCCCCACAGGGCAGCTAGAGGATTCGAACTGTGAGCCTCTGTGATTGCTTCGAGGGAGGGCATGGAATCTGGGGTCTTAGAAAGGACTCAGTTCATAAGGACTAGTTTATACTAACACCAGTGACCAGATGATCATAAAACTCTGAACATTAACACACGCTCACAAGCAGATTTTTTTTTATCAAAAGGGGATTTTAAAAAGTGAGATACGAACAGATAGAGAAGGCTGAGACTATTTTTACGTGGACCCAGAGCAGAAAGCACGTTCACGAAGCCAACAAAGCTTGCTAAAATTTGTCTTACTAGTAAAACACACTCTTACTGCCCGGAATACAGACATGGGAAGAGGAACACACAACTATTTCTTTCTGTGTCCCTCCCTTCCTTTTTCGAGACAGCTCGTCCCTTTTACTCTTCTGTCTCTGTATAAACTTCTAAAACAACATTTTAACCCCACGTAATTGCTAGCTTGGAAAGCAAGCATCTGGAAATTCTATCTTCAGCATATCTGAAAACATCAAAGATCTGTCAGGTTGGGTGGCTCTGTTACGTTCCAATCCTGAGGGATAAGAGTCGCTTTCTTAGCATTTTTAGTTCAGGAGTTATAAGCACCCTGAGTTAAGTAAACAGCCTCACTGTGTATGTTCCTGGAGGGAAGAAAGTGGGAAAGACGAGATCACATTAAGGTAGCTACTGATCTAGGATTTGGGCTGCAGAGAACAAGCCCAGGCTCGGGTGGGGGCACAGTGGTGCTTAACGGCTTCTTTGCTCAGCAAGTCTGGCTTCAGAGGGGTGCAAATCCATCTCATTTGGACACGTTCTTCTGGACACCTTTGTCCTTGGAACACACAAGGACACTATAAACAACTGCAACAAGACTTTGTGTTCCCCCCCACCCAACTGATCTAGTCAGATGATGCTAGAATCATTAACTAAGAAATATTCTGGAGCAAATTTTCTCTCAGGTCATCAGAAAGCTGTAGAACAAGAGAAACACTAGCTATAGTGTTGTGTTGTTAAGTGCCATCGAGTTGTAGGCGACTCATAGCGACCCTGTGAACGAAAGTTCTCCGCACTTGCATGTGTGACTTTCATCCTTTCTCCAGGTTCACAGGGTTTCCGGAGGCAAGCTGTTTACGGAAGTGGATGCCAGTCCTGCTTCCAAGCTTGTTTCAACCGGGGAGGTCCACCAAAGCTATATTGAGAAGGGCTTTTTCTACACAAAACTGCATGCTCAAAAGTACATGGAGGGCATTGTGAGGGGGCTCAAGGGAGCGTGCCAGAGGGTGGACGGGGCTGCGGAGATGGGCTGTCACTGGCTCTCCAATGATTAGGAAGAGTATTCATTCCAGTCCTTTTCCTGGGAGAAAAAAAATATCTGAAATTTCCTGTCCATGGCAGTGAGCTGGCAACTGTGAATAAATTATAAGCTCTGGGGTTATTTAGAGTTATTGCTATTCAGCCATGAACAATACGTCCTGAGGTAAGTGAGCGCCCAGCTGACAATGGAAATACAGGAGGTTTCAACCCACAGTGGCTCTGCTGGAAAAAGACCCAGGGGTCCGCTCCCCTAAAGAGTATGATCTAGAAACGTCTACGGGCAGTTCTTCACATGGGGTGACTCTGAGCTGGAACTTATTTGACGGCTCCTAACAACAACCATAACAACAAAAAGGGCATCGCTTTTAGAGTACCTGCCCCACATGCCTTCACAAATATTAAATATTTATGTCGCTTTCTGGTACATTAGATTTGTTGTTTTTCTCCTTAAAGACTCCTCAGACTCGCCCGTCTGCACATGGTGCTCTCTAAGCCTCACGGTTTGGGGCCGAGCTCGTGTCAGGAGCTGCAGGAGACAGTTCCCCCCCAGCTTTCATGAGTCCCGTTGTTCCGTTCAGATGTTCTCTGTCAGCTTTGGTGAGAAAAAGTCGCCTGTTTACTGAAAGCCTCAGGCAGGCAACATCGAGACCTACCATTAGAAAGCAAATTTCTTCTCTCCCTTTCAGCTTTTTTTTTAAGTTTAAACCTTTTAGCTCTTTGACAGCTCAACCTTCCTGCCAATCATGTGTTGGTAAGCAACAGTGTGGTGTGTGATTCAAGCAAGAGTCTGAGAATAACAGCATTCGAGGTGCAGACCCCAAGAAGCATTCCTTACTGGGACCAAGGCACTCCTGTGTTTATCTCAAGCCACGATCACCTCAAGGTCAGCTTTCTGACTCTTCTATCCCTGGTTCACTCCCTTTGATATTTGGCTTTGACTAATAGCTTGTGGCCCTTGCCATGTAAAATGTGTGGAGGGCCCCGGAGTGCCAATGCTGAGTTAGGAGGCAGATGATATTAACAGGGAATGAGGAAAGTCTACATAAAGGGGTCATTTCTAATAAGTGTGTGAAAGAAATGAATACTATTGGGATAGCTAAGCCAATGAGAAAAAGAAATAAAGCTAATTCATGACTTAGATCAAAATAAATTCCAGATCGACCAAAGAGTTAAGTATAAAGGTGTAATTATGGAGCTCTAGTAGTGTGGTGGTTAAGTGCTAGGCTATGAACCAGAAGGTCAGTGGTTTGAGTGCACCAAGCACTCTGCAGGAGTAATAGTCAATCCTGTAGGGAACTCTGGGGGCATAGTGGTAAGGAGTTGAGCTGCCAACTTAAGGGCACATGGTTCAAAACCACCAGCTCTTCTGCAGGAGAAGGTAAGGCAATCTCTTCCTGTGAGATTTACTGACTCTGAAAACCCAGTGGCAGGTCAGCTATGGGGGTGGTTCCGACTCAATGGTACACCACCACCACCACCACCACAACAGGTCAGTATGAACTGCAATCCACTCAACCACAATGGGTCTTGGTCATACGGAGACAGTAAAAAAGCCTAGAAGAATGCACACCCATGTTTATTGTGGCTCTGTTTGCAATAGCAAAGAGTTGGAA